CGGGAAAGATGAAAAACAATGATGATACTCAACGACTAATATTCTTAGCGGTAACGAAAGCACAGTAGGTACGAACCTCTAGTGACAGCCTTCATACAGGGCGGTACACCCACAGTCGGTTATCAGAATGATGGTGGGTCTCAGTAAATTCGACGGACATGTTTAAGGAACAACCATTAACTCCTCTCATCGTCCGGTTCCAGGCCTTAACTCGATATAACAGTGGGGATGGAACAAATAAGTCACTGGATGACCAGAAGCTCAACGTTGGGGAAACGCCGAACCTCGCATATGAAGCGTCTTGACCAATTTGTGAGTTCCTGATGAAGTTCCATTGCTCAAAGCCATCAGCTGTCTGGCTATCTAAGTGAGTATCGGCGATGAGCGATTTGCTTTCACACATTCATTTAAGAAAGATTCAATGGGAATCAGCAGCGCCGAAAAGGTTGATGAGGTTGACCATAACTGACACTAGTTATACACGAATCGATGTGAGTTAACAGCTAACAAGTGACCAAATCAAAACTAGTCGATTTCAACACAAACAGCACAAAGCTGAGATCTTCAGACTGGTAGCTTTGCATTAACATTTTATAGTTTCAACCGAATCAGAGATGAAATTTGTTTTTAACATTCCAAACCCAATAGGTATTATATTAACACAAAAAAAGCTGGAACAGATATCGTCACAACTTCTGCCAATTAAAAGAGACAAGTAAACCATTGTTTGTTACGCAATTAGATTTACTTATACGAAACAAGAGTTTCACGCTTCCGAACCCTTCATAGTGAGAGAAACTGCAGCAACATCGGCTAGACTTGCAAAAATTACCTAGGGCTTATGGGCGTTTTGTTTTTGTTCTATTTATCTGCGGCATTGTCGACTAGAAATCAAGCGACTCTCACGGCTAAGATCACCGACTGTTGATCCCTGAAACGTTTAAGATTACAGCCGTTAGCTGAAAACGCACAGTAAACAACAACGAGTATTAGAAATGACGGCGAAGTCGTCATTCAGGTCAGGTGTGTTGGCGGAACAGAAAATCGTAGACTGCAAAACCATCATACCACGACAATAATCACATGATATCAATGGACTACCTGTGCGCATCCGACGATGATCGGTCATTATTGCTGATATCTTCGTCGTCAATAAACCTCAAGCTCTGAGGGAACGTGACGTCGAATGCCCCGAAGAACGAGGAGTATCCTTGATGGTCCTCGTTGTCGTTGTTGCCAACGCCGTCTTCGCCATTTCCCTCTCCCTCGCCCTCGCCAACATCGCTCTCGTCTTCGTTCTCGCTCCTGCACTGCTGCCGGTGGCGACTCATCAAGACTACGTTTAAGTTCAAGACAACGAATGAACGCACAAACGCATTACAAATTCGCACGGCTGAAAAGGCGATGGCTGATCATCACTTTCTTTTTTTTCGTTCTCTAACTATAGCTAAACGAACGACGCCACAGAATCACTCCTTCGGTGTGTCAAAAAAAGAAAAAACACAGATGAGGTTGGTTGTTGTTGCTGACATGTTTATCTCAGCTGCCACCGTTCTCGTTCGCACCGATCAGATAAACGAACCGCCTCCTACGACTGACTCCGGTTCTTCATTTTTGACAGATTTAACAACCGCTGGGTGCGTCGTATGCTGCTCACGTGCTACTCAACGCGACGACAACTAGGACAAGTATGACAGCACCGACAACGATGACCAGAGGTCAACATGCGACCGGTCTTCACTAAGACAGTAACAACGGTTGGTCAAGCGATGACGCTCACTTTACGACTGTCTGTTACCTGTCATGAGTCCATCAAACATATCTGCAGCACCACGATTTGATGGTCGACGGCGTATGGTGGTGACCTTAATGCGACATCGCATTCCAATCTTTTCTATGTCTCTGTTTCTGTCCGTTCAGCAGTTAATTAGTAAATCGTCGTTAGCAGGGACACGTCAATCACGGCCGCTCGATTTCCCTCCCTGTAAGCCAAAAGATACGAATCTCTTCGCAATAAACTTTATCGTGTAACTAAACTCTAGGCAATGAACTCGTCAAGTCGGTTCAGTGGTCACTCGCGAGTGCTACATGAAATCATTAGTTAGGAAATGTAACTGTAAAAACAAGTTCATTATAAACTTCAAGATTTTACACTGACCTTTCTCGCATAAAAGACGCAGAACGAGGACGACGACGAAAATCGGACAGAAAACCTTGACTTTTGTTCGAAATTTGCCGTTCCTACACAAATTTGCGTTTTCTTAATTTTTCTATTCATTTCCATCACTTCTTGAATTTATTAACAAGAACATTTCTTCACCAAGCCTCGCCATTAGCAACAGTCTGATTTTTCGCGGTCTTCCAGCATGACGCAACCTGAAGGCTATCATTAAGAATAAGTTTTTACAATAACGGAGTTGTACTATGAGTTTATTCAGTTGATTAGTCGAACGTGAAACTGAAGACTGGTGAGATTCATTTCTTGAGTGTTGCTTCAGATAATTCTATTTTTCAGAAATAAA